TCTTTCCCGTTCGCAGCTCGGCGAACGAGTTTCCGCGACTGAAAGAAAAGCGTAAATTACACGCGAGTTTTCGAAAGGGGCCTCGTAAAACGGGCAGCAACCGATTCCCCACGACTACCACGCCCCCGCCTCGTTGGCATTTTTGTCATCGTACCCGAAGAAGGTATATTCCGTCTGGATCGTTGCCCACTTCCCATCGGCGTCTCATGAATCTCTATAAGGCCGTCAAACGAGTAATTCGTCCGTACGTCTCCCTTTCTCTTTCTCTTTCTCCGTTTTACGCGCGTGCAACGCCGCTCTGGCCGTCCTCGTCTCACCCGGTACCGGTTGCACTCTCTTTCTCCGACGGACCCTCTACGGCTCCGGTTCTTTCTCCTCCGCCAAAGATAATGACCGTCCGTGGCGGCCGTATGAATAGAAGAAACCGTCGGAAACCGGCCAATGGCGAATTTTACTACCATAAGACGGCGAGAGTAATCTGCATGGGCTCGTGAATGGCGGAAAGGAGGGCGCCGAGCGGAAGGGAGGAAATAAAATAAAGAAGGAAAGCCGGCGAAGGGAGAAAGGTGAAGGAAGGGAGAACCGGCTAAAGCGATGACGTCTCCGCGCGAGAATCTAATTACCATATTCACCTCGACGAGCAACGCAGCCTTACGATCCTCCGGTTCCGAGCTTATTAATACTCGTACACCCTGGTGTACGCGGCTGCGGATACCGAGGGCCACGCTCTGCAACGGGGACACTAACGATCCAACCAAGCGATTCCTCGGTGAAATGTGTAATATCGCGGTGTCTCGATAGATTTCCCCGCTAACACCGTTTCGAAAAGGTATCCCGCTCTCCGTACACACGCTCGCGCGTTCTCTCGAGTGTCGTAAAGATACGCAACTGCGACTCTCGTGTGTTCATTGAACAGCGCGAGACGCAGCCGCGAACCGAGTTCTTCGCGCGAGGAGAACGTACACGCTCGCGTGCGCGTCGCGACTCGTGGAGCGGAACTCTGCTCTCACGGTTTAGGGACAGAGCAAGATGACGGGACGACTAACTGCGAGTTAGCATCGAGGGATCGTACACCGTGAAATCGATAATCACGCGATATCACGCCGCGTCGTGTTTGTCGTGGATCATCCGAAGACGCGTTACGTAAGCTGTTAAAATGGCTGCATCGCGACGCGATTCTCCGTTGACGAGACATCGATTCCCGATCGCGAAGCTCGACTCTTTCGCTAACGACTTTGCCTCGCGCTATTTTCGGCGCGCGTAATCAATTTTCCACGAAATTTCTTTCCACGTGCTCGAAACACTCGAACCTAACCATCCTCGAGTACCCCGGCCCGGAATAAACCCTCGTCTAGTTACGAGCTTTTCCATCCGTGCCGGAGAAAAACGTTTTCCCGCTCGCACGCGCGCGTGCGCGTTTCTCCACCGGCGAGAATCGTCGCGCGAACGCGGAACGCGCGCAAACTGGGCGTGACAGAGGCATTAAAAAGCGCGATATGGAATTAGATGGCAGCGTTCGCCTCGCTTCAGCGACCGCCGTTGTCCAGTCGTCGTTAATTCCGTCGTTTACTTAGCGAGGTGCAACGATTGCACGGCACGATGTTTAAGCGCGATTGTTTATGGCGGTCGGGGCTCGTGGAAACGATCGTTCTCTCGGCCACTTCCGACGCGTGTGCACGAGAACGCGTTGTCCCGCTCCTTGTACTCCCGAGAGAAGATACGGTTTATCGCTTCCTCTATTAACCCGATTTAATGGCGCGCGTCGCAAATCATACGCTGATATCACGCTGTTTTCTTCTGCTCCGTGCCTTTCTCGGCGGAGCTGCTCTTTCGCGCGATAATCGGAGCTTTGGTAGCGTTTGGAAGTTATTTAGATGTCTAGCGCTCCTCGACGTTCCGTTCGGTGTCGGGACGCGGGGAGACTATAAATTGTCTCGGGATAGTTGGATAGTTGGTTAATTCGATAGACGATCCTCTGTTGCAAAGTTCCACCGTCCGGTAGCGATTTCATCGACGCTTGTGATCATCGTACGAATGTATCGCCCCGAATCTCGTTACTTTCGCGACACCCTATGCCGGTGCACTCGTACGCCAGAAATTACGCTCGCATAACGCGGCATACATCTCGTGAACGACCCGCGAATCGGACGATGGCCAAAAGCGTTCGCGGTTTGAGCCAAAAAATAATAGATGCGCGATCATCGACGCCGAAACGGCGCATTCAGCGTGGTTCGAAGTGGCGATCGATGGATCCCGGCCTTGGCGCGGGCTGTGATGGCTGTTTTCGTCGATCCGCGCGGATGCAAAAGGAAACGGTGAGAGCAGAGTCGCAATAGCAGACGAGCCTGAAACGTAATCGTTGCGTGGACGTATCATTTGGCGCAATAAATCCGCGCGAATCGTGAGCGACTATTGGCCGACGGCGACACGAGCTATCCTTTGAACAGTGTTCAGTTGCAGCTGCGGCTCGTGCACGTGTTAAGTGCTCGTCGTAGATCTCTTCGATGTTTACCACGACGATTAGCATGATCTATGCCCTTCCATCGCGGTATCGAGCAGATAGAAATTCGCGTCGCGTCTTTTCCGAACTTCCATTCGAAATTAATCGCCGGCGAGATTCTCTCCCGAGAATCTTTCCGAGAAACCCCGAAGATTAGTTCCGTCCCAGTTCTCCGGACGGAACGTCCAGCAACTTCGAGGAAGATACTTCCTCCGGGCGACGTAGGTAACGACCAGTTCCATCGAATCACCCGAAAACCCTAAATCTACCCCTCGGACAGGCTGCCTCGCAGCGATCCTGGGTGGTCTTCTCCCTAGGTGGCAACCGATCGATCCATAAGAATGCTTCTTTTCCCTCTCTTCTTTCCCGTTCGCTCGCGGCGATTCTCACGGAACAGTAGTCCTCTTGAACCTATTCGAATAACCCGTCGAATTTTATCTCAGGTGCGAAGCGTATTTATTCCGCGAGGAGAGTCAGCGATAAATGTATCGGTATCGTAACGGCTTCTACTCGTCGCTTATCTTCGCTCGGCAAATATTCGCCACGGTGATTTACCGCGTCGTTGCGTTTTCGCGCTCAGACTCGGCGTACCCCGACGCCATTTAGATTCCCCCGCTCGCCCAAGCAGCGAGAAAGAGCCTCGCAATAATCCTCCGATCTCGATCAAGAGCAACAGGCTGGTCGTTCGCGGCGTGTTTCGCGTTTGCGCGCGGGTGTTAAATGCGTTCCATCTGCCGGCCAAGGTAGATTAGACGGCCCTGGCGGGGCCCGACTCGCCCTCTCGCGAATATAATCGCGAAGAAGCGAACGAATAAAAATGATTTATACCAGCCGCGATGCGTCGTCGAGATAGAGTGGACACGGATTGAATTCAGATGAGAATCCCAGTGGTAGGGCTCCGAACAGGGTCTACCCGGTGTCCTTCGTGGAATGATCTTGATGGATATCGGGTACGGTGACGTGGTTGGTTCGTTTCGTCTCTCGAGATAGAGAGCAGCGAGGATCAAAATGGATCGCGAGGTTGCGAAGCTCGTCGAGTATAAATATCCGTACCTAATCGCCGATTATGCCTAACTCGAGACGGACCGTGGTATAGATGGTTACGTTGAAACTTTGGAGAGCTACGAGAGTCGTGAAACGGTAGTCTTTGCCATTCTTCCAATGCGGGAAGAACGAATTCTCGGTACGAAAGGGGATAAATTTTCAACGAAAACTCATCGAACTGCTCGCGAATGTCCACTAGAGTTCTCAAACACGGGAAAACCATCGGCGAGACCACCTACTCGAGGCTAATGGCGTGTCCACGAGTGGTGGCGCGTTTTAAAGCCTCTCGAGGAGCACGCTCTAAAAGCTAGACTACACTCGCGTTTCTTTCGTCTTCGATTTCTGTCTTTATCACCGTCGAATGCGGAGAACACGGGAGATCGATACCTTTCAAAGGGACGTCCTCGATTCGCTCGGGGTCGTAAAAATACCATCCACCATCGATTACCCTGTACTATTGCCCTATGGAAAAAGTTTCGACCAAGATGACAGCCCCGAGAGGCTTCGCCGTCCCGTTTGATGTCGCGTTGGAATTTCGATCACGAACATACCGGAAGATATATTTCCGCGATTCCGCCGGTAAAACGAAGGTACCCGAGACCGCGTGTGTCCCTTAAGATGGCTGTCGCGTTACGTGACAGGGATTTCTTAGAAATCCAGCACGAAGACCGCGATTGCTCGTCACGCGAATTTCTCGATCTAGGGGGAGCGAAGCGTGAACTTGGACTTTTCCTCGGCCTCCATGCCGCGGATAAGCAACCGCGAAAGATATTACGTCAAGCACGCGCACGCGAATTATTCTAGCGTGACAGGGGGACGAGGATTAGCGTTAAATTGGCGCGACGTTGTGGAAGATGGAAGGAGAGGATGTTATAGATCGAACTCTATACTCGGTTCTTAACCTCCTGCTCGCAATTAGTCTCTGCCAGTTTCATCGGTCAACGATTTACAGTCGATTGTTCCCTCTTAACGAGGCCTTTTGTTCCTGGGCGTCCGTAGGAAATTACGCGAATAACGCGATTACCGCGAATTTCAGCCAAGCAGGTCGAGACACGGAGACGTTAAATTAGAAACGGCGCCAATGTTCGCCTGGGTACTCGGGAATCGGTTTCGAATACGAGTAATCCGCGCCTCCTCGAGGATCGATCGATCACGGTCATCGTAGATTTTACTTTTACTCGCCCGGGGGTCGGTCATTCCCGCGTTTGTTGTATCGCGTTTTACGCAGTCGAGTCTGCGCGAAATTTAATCCGACGGTTGAATTTTTGTTCAGAAGGACGGGAAACGCCATTATCACCGCCACCACCTTCGAGTTCCTCCGTTCAGACGTCACCTCGCGGATTGGGTTACACCTGCGGTCCCATAGATGGATCTCTGTACGCTGTGGTACACCAGGGTGCTGCCGGTGGTGCCCGTGGCTCACCATTGACAGTTTCCATGGACAGCGGCATCAGCAGCGCTCCACCACAGCGACCTAGTCCACCGGAGCCGGAGCCGGATAACCAGGCTCATGGTGATCTTGATAAGCTTCTGCATGATATGATGCTTACCGTCGAGGTGAGTCTATCCTCCGTTCAAATTATTACCGTGTCAATTATCTAATCCAACTAGCTCGAAATCTCATGTCGCATCTCGGTTAAATTATTCGTGGCCGTATAATCGAGCCCTCGGTGTCGTATAATCGGTGCATATACTTTTAATACATTTTCCATACCCGGATCAGCTAATTTACTCGTTGATAGCCTCGGAATTCCAATAGAGCAATAATTTCTGTTCTTTATAAACGCAGTCGATGCCAGATCCTCCGTCAGAGGACTACAGAACGGACAGAAGCGATAAAATGTACATTCAAGAAACCCGTAGCTATAGCAGCCACACGAGCAGCCATTCCCCCTCGACTTACTCCACGCTGAAGGATTCGTACAGAAATTACAGCATCGCGAAAGAGTCCAGTCCGCCGTACAACTCGAGCAGCAGTTACAGCACCCTGAAGAACGAGTACCGGGAACCGGCCAAGATCGAACATCGAAGAGAGGAATTCGAGTACCGTATGTCGCCGGATCGAAAAATCTCCGATTCCTCCACGGATTCGTACAGAAAACACGCGGACTCGTTTTCGCCGCCTGGCAATATCGATTACATCGACGAGGACATCCCTTATCACGCGAGGCAAACGAGCCAGCCGTTTTCGTACGGCGCCACGCCGGACATGATCAAGCATCAGAAACTTTCGTCGCCTTCCCTGGTTCGGAAGGCGTCCGTACGAGGAACTGCACCCGTCGTGGACTTCGAAGACATTCTCGGCGAGAATTCCAGGCGACCCATCAGCCCTCTCAGTCCAAACACGCCCGATCCTCCGCCAGAGTTTGCCAATGGTCCCGCGAAGAACAGTTCGGACCACGTGGACGGGTAAGCTATAGATACACTCCATATATATATATATATATGTTTTCTTTTTCATTCGCTAATTATAATCGAAGCTAGCCATAAAAACCTAGCCATCGCGTTCTTCTTGGCAAAGAAATAGTGGAATATTTGACTCTCGGTCCGCGAAAAATGGCAGTTTCCAACGAACACGAAGTTTCCGTCCAGGGTTCTATATATACCTTGGCGAACCGATTACGGGGTTCCTTTCCCTGGCACGGTTCCCGACGAACATTAGCGTCGAACAGCCAGGTCCGCGAGTAACAAATCCCATAATTAAATACTCGGCACCGCGTCTAATAATAACGCGCGGAGGGACGAGACGCGGTCCAGCGAAAAGCGTTCCGTCATGCTCGATGTACGTTGAGCAACGGGAGGGTAGATTAGGCGGTTTCGGCGGAATCCGCGGTGGTAGCCGCGGGTGCAAGTGGGCCATTCCTCTGGCAGAGGTTCCAGGCGAGAGACTGGATCGTGGTCGCGGTCGACAAAGACGAACGTCTACGGGCAGTGTCGCAACTCGACCTCCGAATCGGGCGCCGCAAAAGAGTGTCACGAGGAACGAGCGGAGAGGTCGCGTGCGCGTGGCGGGGAAGGAGAAACGAGGATAGAAGCTGTGGCTGGGACAATTAATAAATTGTCTACCCATAGGCGGACGCGATTGCGACGCAGTGCGGTCGTCGTATTTCTGCCAGGAATGGCGAACGCGGTCGTGTCGTGAGTCATTGTAGCTCGCCAGAGCAGATGGAAAGAGAAAAGTCTCGGTAGATGCGGACGGAGTTGGCGTCGGACGCGTCGTATCGCGTTATGAAATACGAGTTTCGCGGTCGGTCGATGGATATTGCGAGCAACGACCGCATTATCGACTCGTTAATTCGTTACCGTGGAACCTCGCGTTTCTTCTAACGAGCATAATCCGCGAGTTTGATTTTCGACGATGACGTTTGGCAGGAGGACGACGATTTCCGTTTCTCGTTCGAATCCGCCTTCACCGGAGAAATAAACGGCGATATAAATTTCGTCGCTTAACGAATGCTTTGTATTCCAATGACGTTCGATTTTATCACGGAGCGGAGTGCAGCTCGTAATTCGGTCAGTGAACCGACGCGTCGATTTTCGCGGTCGAAATCTTATCCGAAGACGGGAGAAAGCAATGGTGTGTCCATGCTTAACAAGTTTGTTAAAGCGTGTGCTGCCGGTGGAGTTCGTCGAACCGGACAGCAGTCACCGTAAAATACTCGTCTCGTTTTGTGTATCGAGTCGCTGGAGGGCCGAAAGCCGTGAAAATAAACCGTCCCTTCTGGCCGGAGTCGGGCACGGCCTGCGAAACCGCAAGTTTCGCCCGGATATTTATGAAGAACCGCGATCCGCTACGATGGAGAAACAGGCGACGTTTATGGTCGAGGAGGTCGACAGACGTTTGGCAGGTCTGCTTTCTCAGCCGCAAAGAAGCTCTCCTTTCGGGGCTTCACCGTTCTTTCCTTGTCTCTCGATCCTGGTTTTCTGCTTCCATTTCTGCTACCATTTCTGCTTCTCCTCCGCCGCGTAGCTGTTCAAATTCCATCTACGGGGGCTGTGTCTTCTGAAACAATCGTTGCAAGTACCGCAGGCTGGCCGTGCTTCGATCAAACCCGTTTGATCTCGTTCTAAATTTAAAGGGACAATCTCTTCCTTTGCTCCCGTCCAGATAAGATATTAAATACTCGAATGTTGGTCGGTGCTGGTATCCACCTTCCAACGAATTCGCAGTTTCCAATTTAACCGGAGGGTTGACGATTGATTCCATTAGAGAACGCCGGTGGATATTCGAAGAATTTCACGGACAATTCCACGAAAAGAAATAGTTCTTACACGCGTAAAACGGGACGGGATGCTTCCTATTTTTGGGACTCTGACCGCCCTCTGACATAATTATAAATATAGAACAGGCGAAACGCGCTGAATCGACTCTTCTTTTTCTTATACTTCTTCTTCCTCTTTTATTCCTCGCCCTCTTTGTTTCCCGCGCTTCTGCAAGTGCATTTTCTTTCCGCTGGCAATTTTTCCATCGCCGGCGGAGCTTCGCGGAACCGGGCTGCGCTCGGATACGGAAGTCATTCGAAGTAGAAGCAGCAGCAGCAGCAGCAGCAGCACAAAAGAGGCTCGTAAAGCCTTGGTGCAATTTTACCCGACGAGCTCGCGTTTCCGACGTCCTTTCCGGCCTGTCCTAGACAAGGCCGCGTTCTCCTTGCTCTCTCCTGGTCGTGGCATTATTTCCAAGGAGAATCGGTCATTTCGACCCACGAAAAATGACCGATGATCCAACCCGTGTATCCTCCTCGTCGAAAACCACGCGGTTAAGCGCCGCGATCGTTTCACCTCCCTTCCAAACATGCTGTTCGACGTTTGAATTTATAGTAATTGCTTTCCAAACAAATTTAAGCCAACTTGGCTATGAAACGGTGACTATAAACCGGAAGTGCCTGTTGGACCGACGCACGAAATGACATAAACGACCCTGCAAGTACCGGTCGCGTGTCCGAACAGAATTGCAGCAACGTAACGAGCCGTTTTATTATTCGAAACGCGCGAGCCTTGCGCCGGCAGAACGAGATAGCATCCAGTTTATTTCAAACCGACAACGGGCAACGCTTGCCCTCGTAAATTCGTACCCGTTGGCCTTTTTTTTTATTTCGCCAATGGGGATGGGGCATTTTAATTTCACTCCAGAGCCGGCCGTGTATACGTTTTTCGTTGCGTCGTTACGCCAACGAATTCCACAAGCTCGCGCATGCACGTGGAATCACTGTTACAATGTTTCTCCGCTAACGATACTTTACGTTCCATTTAACTAACGCTTCGTATCGCGTACGAGCGTAGAGACCGCTCCGGGAAAATCACGGTATCTCGTATTTCCTACTTTTTACCAAATTTCGCGTTACCCGAATCTTCCTTTTATATCCCCCGCGATCCGAATATGCATTTTTCCATTGTCTGTCGTTCCGTTCGTATCTCGCACGGCTGTGCGAATTTGTCGGATATTAAAAAGGAGGGGAAAAATGAAAGATGAACAAGATCTCGCGGAATACCTGCTCCTTTTTCCATCCTCTAAAGTATGATAAAAGTCGGGCAATTAACGGAGATGAATTCCTTTCCCCGGAGATGTTGGAGATAGCGAGGAGTTGTAGTAAAACGAGATATAATTTCGTTAGCTTCGATTGTTCGCCGTGCACGCCGGGGACAGAAATCCGAAACTCGTCTTAAGTGTTCCAGTTTCGTGCCCGGGACGGAACGTTGATCTTTCCAAGCTCATTACTTCCTGCGCGCAAGGGTTGATCTTCCGTGAATCTGCTAGCACAGGGAATCCTATTTACGTCTCTTTCACCGGAACAAATTTACAGCCGTCGTTTGATCTCGCGGTAAATTAACTTCTCATCCAAACTCTATGCGAACGCGAATACGGGTAACGGCGAAGGGAGTCGCGGAGCAATCGTTGGTCCTTTAATCCGCGGCTCCATTAACGTCGTTCAGCCTGCACAAACGTTACTTGTTCGTTCGCCGATGCAGCGACGAAGGCTCGGCGAGGTCGCTGGTAAACGGATTAATTTGTCGGTCCATTTCGAAGTGATACCTTTAATAACCGAGTGAAACGGAAGCGACCATCGTCGCGAGAGCGAATTGCTCGCAACTTTGCTCTTCCGGTAACGAGACGCAACGATGTCGAGCTTCGTCACGGATGTAGGTACGTCGCGATTTATGGGCCCCCTCTGTCGCGAGGGTGTGGCCCGTTCCGACAGAGCGAGGTACGAATTTCGTTAGCCGCGAACGAAAAGGAAAACGGGCCGAGAGAAGAGAAAGAGGCGGTCGGTTTGTCGTACCGATCGATTTATTACGAGCCGCGCGGCGGCACCGTGAGCGAAACACGGCCAGAAATCGATGGCCCGGAGCGACCTCATCGATCAGGATGCAATTATCCAGGATCTATCTTGGTAGGAGGTCCCGATTCCGGCCTTCTTCCGACTGGAACCGTGACGTGGCCCGTTCTAACGAGGCTTTGTTACACGACTCGCGCGTCTCGTGTTCCCTCGAGAAAGTAGCTTCTCGTGTTTTCGTCGTCTGCTCGCGAGTAACTCGAGTCGGGACGCGTTAGGCGAGGAAAGCGAGAAATCACGATTCACAGGATGAAAACAGCTGCTCCGCGGGAACGGAGATTCTAATCTGTGACAGGTGACAGAGTATCCGGCGTAGCCTTCACGGTCGCGCTTTCTTTCCCCTTTCAGCAGCGGGAGTATCGTTATGGGCGTCGGAATGGAGGACGAAGCGTCTCTTTCGTCGAGATTAATTTTTCCATCGTCGACGATGCCCGATAGTAGTTGGGTGATTCTTTTATTCCGACGTCCGCGCGTACACGAGTATTCCGTCGAAATGGCACTTACGGTTTTCCAGCTTTCATTAACGCAACTTTTATTACGCGTTCCCTTTTACGAGAGTTTCGCCGAACGAGATCACCGGAAGGCGCGCGATAAGACGACCGTTTGCGAAAGTTTCGACACAAAGTGGCCAAGTTTTACCTTGCTCTCCTTCTTCTTCTGTTGACGCAGATTATCATGGTTGAGGCAGCAGCAGTTGAAACTCGCCGCGAGGAGGGATGAAAGAAACCCGGGAAAACTTTGGCGACAGGAGACTGGAAATCGCATGATCGGCGAGCTGAGAAGCTTGCAGAGAGGCAGGCTGAGGCACGACGGGTATGCCAGCGATTCCGCCGTGCTCGACGACGATGATGACACGTGGGTCGTTAATTCCACTTCCGGACAGGTGAGGAATATTCCACTTATCGATCTCACGCTAACCGTGCATCTTTACCACTTTTCGTCTCTTTGTAATCCTGTTTTATCTTCTTCGTCTTCTTCCTCTGCTTTATCGGTACACGAGCGTTTGCGCGATTACCTTAACCGTGCATCTTTACCACTTTTCGTCTCTTTGTAATCCTGTTTTATCTTCTTCGTCTTCTTCTTCTTCTGCTTTATCGGTACACGAGCGTTTGCGCGATTACTCGCCATTTCGTATGTTCTACTTGTAATTTATTTTCAGACGCAATCGAGATCCATACCTTACACGTCCGCGCCGGCGAGCCCGCTGCTTCCGCAACGATCGAGCAGCCGGAAGTACAACGGTACCTCCGGAACCGGTACCCTAGGAAGACCTCGGGCGGAGAGCGTGAACGAGCGTCCCTTCATGTCCGTGAAACGGGCGTACGAATATCGCAAATACAGCGACAGCCAGGTAAACGAGGAAGCACGCGTGATAGTTAGGAAAATGGAGGGAAAAGGGAGGGGAAAAGGAGGAGCTGGCTGTTACAACATACGCAGGCTGGGGAATCGATCGTGGTTAACGAGCGCTTCGAGATGTCCAGAAGCATAAAATGTTTATCGACGTACAAAGCAACGAAAGCACGGCAGTCGATTACACGATAAATATTTATTAAGTCGTCGGTGCGGTTGGAAAAAGCAACGTAGTATTACCAGAGCCAGTTACCCGAAGCGCTGGACTACTTAAAATAATTATCGGTAATAAGGATAATAAATCCGAAACGGCGGCACGATCGATTCTGCCTTTACGCGAATGAAACGGCGGCAGCGCGAACTCTGCAATTTAGTCCCTCATAGATAGCGATTGTAAAAGCACAGCTCCCTCCGCGGTCCCGTGTTTTATGGTTATGCCCTACAGTTAGATCCTAAACAGCAAGAAACGGCCCCCCTCAGCCGCACTTAGACCGTAGACTTGGCAAAAAACGACCGCATCCTTTAGAAGCCACGAGTACAAGTTTAACCCTTTCTTCTGCCCACTTTTTCCACCGGTTATCGCGCCAGGCGTTACTCGATGATCGGTACGATTGGAAATGAAGGTAATTCCGTAGGATAAAACGAGCCAAAAATATGGAACTTCTTACGCGCAGTCGTACCTATCGCGAGGCATCCTACGAAATCCATTATCATTCGGGAACCGGTTACGGAGATAGTTCGTCATCGTTCCAACTCGATCTCCGTATTCGCGATCGCAAAGAGGCGAAATCAGGAAAGATAGAAAAAAAAAAAAAAGGAAAAAAGAACAAAGAAGAAGGGGGGAAAAAAAATCGGAACGGTGAAAAATGAATACGATTAACGCGCTAATGGAGTATCACGGTAATCCGATCGCTAATAGAAAATCAGCTCGTGTAAACACGCCGTGGCAGGAAAGGATTAAAACGCCCGGCTCCCTCTAGCATGAAGCGCTTCGCTTGCTTTTCAGAGCCCTCCGACATCCCCCCGCTCAGGCTTAGCAAGCACGCAACCCTTAGGATTAGCAATGCAGCAACAAGCAACCTTCATTAACACGGACAAGCCCCAGCCGCCACGGCCAGAGTCCCGCAGCGACAGTTTCGCTCGCGCCGACGCTTTGCTGCGCGAGCACCGACAGCAACAGCAACAGCTCGCCGCCAGCAACGCGATCAACAGTCACGCGGAGCAGAAAGAGGCGACGGGTCAGGATTTCGTTTCGACCACGGCTCGAAATTCTCGACCGGAGTCGCGAAATCGAGTGGTCACCTATCAGAGCCTCGGCAGAACCACCGTGTCCAGCAACGACAGGACCACCGACCACGTGGACGCCGGATTGCTGACCATGGTCGATCAGCAATCCAGCGTGCAGAGCAATCCGGACCCTCTCGTGAGCCTCATTCGATCATTGGCTGAAATTTCGCCCATTCGCTCGCCCCCATCGGTCGCTAACAGCAAGACAGACGCGAACGATCATCACGCGAGCATCAGCGCAGCATCCACGACCACTGCGAGCAGCAACGTTGTTAACGCCATCGCTAATTGCTCCCCTAACCAGTCGCCCAAAGCATGGCAGAATTGCACCCAGGTTTGTCCAACCTCCTCCCGCGTCGATCCTAACGTAGTTTAACTCGCGCTATAGCGTTTTCACTCTCGCGTCTGTGTATACAGTGAAAGGAACGAGGAGAGAGAGAGAGAGAGAGAGAGAGAGATTTCTCGTGTCTTTCGATCTCATCTCTTATCTCGCTTATCGTCGATCGTTCTACGAACATGTATATATATATGTATATATGTACGTATACACGAGACTTCTCTCGAATCGTTCTTTCCGTTCATACTTCAGCACGGATCCGTAGCTGGAACGTCTCGAAATTGCTTGGCACGCCTCGCTTGAGCCGGAAGCACAGAGCGATCGGTAGCGCGTGCAGCGTCTTCGAACGCGTCTGCGAGGACTCGTCGCGCAGTGTGCGACAGGCGTGAAAATGGAATGAAAACTTGCAGTCGCACAATGACTCGGCATCATCGTGGACCGAGAGGAGCGTGAGTCCCGGAAGTGCCGTGGCCAGCAGCGCGTCGAGGCCGCAAACGCCGGCGTTTCCGGTACATCCTCGGACCCCGTACGTGAACAACTCTTCGCCTACGGTTACGTTCGCGGCCGACCGAGCCTACGGCACGAACACCAGCTACAACGCGAGCAACAACAACAATAACGTGAACAACGTCGAGGCAACCGGGAATAATAATAACAACGTCGGAAATTATGCCAGCGAACGAACGATCTACATCGAAGAAAGAAGAGAAGTCTCGAAGGAGACGGGACTTCCACCCAAGAGTCCGACAACACAGAGGTGAGCAACAACTTTATCGCTACTTACCCTCCTATTAACGTGTTTTCTCTCCCGATGGTTAGCGTAAATAATATTCGAGTTTCGAAAAGCTTCGTTCCACGATAAAATCAGTCTTACGAGTTTCAAAAGTCGAGCAATTTGGTACCATGATCCACCGTGATTAATCGAATCTTGTTTTCTCCCCCACCGAGATTAGTCGACACTGTCGATAGTGTTTAAATTTCTATGACGCTTGAGTGGAATTCTTCGCGAGATAGAATAAAATTAGGGAAATAATGGAAAAGGTAGATGGATTAATTTACTCGTAATACTTTTATCGGTTAACATCCGAAGCAGAGATCACTCGATGGGATTTTATCTTCCATCGTACATCGGCGATGGTGCATCGATTGTGACACAGAACGATATTCGTGATTCTAGACGCTTGAGTTTCCCGGCAAGCGGGCCACTTAAACAAACGCATAACAAACGATGGCCGCTCACTAACCAATCGGCGTCGTTCGACTATAGGTAATATATTATTTGAGAGCACTGGAACGCGTGGCAAGTGATGAATTCGCGTTTCCGAACGACGGAAACGCGTCGATTTCGCGGATGCGTCGTGAATGTTTAATGTCGTGCTACTAACCGTTTGTATCATCGGTACACACCTTGAACTGTGCAACCGCATCGTGCGCGAATTACACCGAGGCACGGACGAATCGTCGATGTGTCTGCGATTCGAATATTTTCAAACCGGCACGGAATGCGTGGTAATTCCGTGCGACATGATCGATGCGGTTGCAAGCGTTTTGCGGATCAGCATCGTGATGAAAAACGACGAGCTAAGAACACGCATTATTCGTCGTGTGTGAGTGTGTGTATATTGCACTTGTCGGACTAACAAAAGCTCGAGCTTCTTGCATCGTGAACCACCTTGAAAGCCATATTGTCATGCAACGAATATACACAAGTATCACCAAAGCAAAGAACAAAATTTCTCGAAATCTCACAGGAAATTCGCGTAATAATTCATCGGCAGGCTTTATTATTAATAACGAGAAACGACGAAGGAAGCATTCGATATCGTTGATTAACATGTACAATAATACGTGCACTATCATTTACTCGATGACAAGCATTTTCTTGACAATCGTGCGTGTAGATATAGACCTGTGTGAATTGTTGTTCGTAGGTTTAAGAAAAAATTCTAAGTTACGAGATGTATTCGTGCACCCGCCTTCTCTCTCTCTCTCTCTCTCTCTCTCTCTCTCTCGCTCTTTCTCTCTCACCCTGTTTCTCTGCCTGCGTCTCCTTTATCGATATTCCTCTTTCCTGCCACACACGATCTTTCTTTCCCTCCTTCTTGTATGTACCGCATTTCCAATGTTTTCTCACGGCGTACACCACCTTGCACGAATCACTTGACAACACACACGTGTACACACATACACGGAAATCACTGAATACACGCGTCTGCCTGCACGCGGAAAACGATCCTGCTCGAAATGCACTTTATAACGATGCGTGTGATTGCTTCCTTGTAGCAAGGACCGATCTGTTTCTCCGATAAACGAGCCAACGATGCAGCAGTCGCAAGCTGTCTCGCGCAGCCCTGGTACTCCGACTCACATTGAATTTGTCCAAAGTCCTAAGGTACGTGTAACGTAATCCACTTTCTAAATCGTCTCTCAACTCTTTCCACAATTTTCTAATCGTCGTTTACAACGTTTTCTCTCGTCTCCTTCTTTTTCTTCTTCGTCTTGCCTATCTTTTGAGACATCTTGTAAGAGAAAAGGAAAGAAAGAATATCCTGGTGTTTCTGAGAAGAAGGTGCCATGATTGGGTTTCAGAGCGCCACGTCGTATACTTCCATAAATAGCGGTGGCCAGTCTTCTCCACAGGTCCAGTATTACGGTTCAAGACGGTCCAGTGTTCACTCGAACACCGAGCCCCAAGAAGTGGCCGATGCCAACGTGAAATTTGTACGCGACACCAGCAGGATCTGGTACAAGCCGAACATATCTCGGGAGCAAGGTACACGCCTGTAACAGTACGATGTTATTACCCGTTCGCCCGAGTAATAGCTTGATTGCGCTGAAAATAAATGAGAACGAAGCCGAGGAAATCAACCCTGACATTTTCCAGCAATCTCGATGCTGAAGGATGCAGCGCCAGGAACGTTCGTCGTACGAGACAGCAACTCCTTCCCAGGAGCCTTTGGACTCGCTCTGAAGGTAGCGACTCCGCCTCCAGGTGCGCCGAGCAGCCCTAGGGACCCGTCTAGCGAGCTGGTCAGGCACTTTTTGATCGAACCCACCTCCAGGGGTGTCAGATTAAAGGGATGCGCCAACGAGCCAGTTTTCAGCTCGTTGTCAGCGTTAGTTTACCAGCACAGCTTGATGGCGATGGCTCTACCCTGCCAGCTGTTGCTTCCAGAGCCGGAAGCCGCAGCCAGAGCACTCGATTCACCTGGGACAAACAGCACGCAGCAACTGCTCGCACAGGGTGCAGGTAATTGGCGAAAAGATTGAACCCTCGACTGTCCTAATTTTTCAAATATTTTTTTAAAAGTGTACGCCTTCCTTTGCTTAATCGGAACTTCTGCTTTCAGCCTGTAACGTTTTATACCTTTTCACCATGGACACCGAGTCACTGACGGGGCCTCAAGCCATCAAGAAGGCAGTCACGACCATGTTCGAACAGAAGCCACTGCCTACAGCGACTATCGTTCATTTCAAAGTGTCCACTCAGGGGATAACCCTGACGGATAACGCGCGGAAGCTCTTCTTCCGTAGACATTACCCCACGAATAATATCAGTTACTGCGGATTGGACACGGAGGAACGCACCTGGGACTTTGCCAGCGAGGAGACTGGACGACCAGTCAGTGCCCAGTACGTTGCTTCTTTACATTCATCCACGTTCGTCTTTTAATCCAACTGCGTTCGAATCCCTCGAGAATTATGAATACGAGATTCACTTTAGATCCCTGGCTGAGATTGAAATTGAAATGGAACGTTTGTAAAAATTGGACGATACTTACGGTAAGTTCGATTAGTTATTGGAATTGTAATTCTTCCTTTCAGTCGATGCTTTGGATTCGTGGCCAGAAAACCTGCGCACAAATCGGACAATCAGTGCCACGTGTTCGCCGAGCTGGAACCAGAGCAGCCAGCCACGGCCATAGTGAATTTCGTGAACAAGGTCATGATGGGCAACTCCATAGCGAAGGCCAACATCGTGTAAATCGTCTTATTCGTCGCACGCGTCCTCCGAAATGCTCGAATAGCGGTTTCATCTTCGAGACCGAACAGAATCGAGGAAATAAAGGTTGAAGACGATTCATCGAGAAGGAATGAATACGCGACCCGATGTCGTTTACGAAGAAGAATACTAAGAACGTACTATTCGAAAGAAGCTAGTTGACCCTCGTAATAGGTCTCCGCGCATTTCGTGAACGTAGAACCGAATCAGTAGAGTGCATGAACGTTCTAAAAGCAAAATGTAGTAGAGATTAACGATAGAGATTGTATCGTTATTGTTATAAAAGAGAAGAGGTATCGAAGTGATATGCGAAACCCGATTCCATCCTCGCGTCAGCGATCGCACGATTTAGAAGAGAATGTTGTTACACGACGATCGTTACTGCTGGTTATTACATTAGCGAGTAGTAGAGTAATATAAACGATACTCGGAGCAAAGTACGATGCTGCGATCGCAACTTCCCGGATTCCTTCTGTAGAACATACACGGTTGTGTTACAAGTTGTATAAAAAGAAGAAGAAAAAGAAAAACTCGGGGATTTACATTAGGAATTATCGTAACGATTATTCGTTTATCGTTGACCATTTTGTACGAATTTTTTACGTCTAGATCGATCTTTGTATTAATTAAAACGTCGAGGAACATTTTCCGTAGATCCTTCAATTATCTTTTTGTCAATCGTATTCGTTGAGGGACGAAGTTACGCAATGCGACGTTATACTTTGCTTCCAGCGAGAAACTATTAAACGAACGATATGCAAGCGAACGTACCGATAGTTGGTAGGAATAGTTGACGAGTATCGACCGTGCTCATTGCGCGAATCTCGAAGATCGTCGCGCATTCGAAGCGCAGACTCGCGAGTACGTGGCTCGATCGTGAAACGCAGAATAGTTACATATATGTACGTACACGTATGTAAGTACACTGTTGCGAAATGATAAAAGAAAAAAAGAAAAAAAAAAAAAGAAAAAAAGAAAAAAAAACATAACGCAGGAAATAGTTGAATATCCATATACGTTATTAATCACGTTATACTTGGGACTCTCGAGTAATGTTTATCGAAGAAATGTTACGTCGTTGCGGAGCCGTGCCTGTGTATCGTAGCCCGCGATGTTCCCTGGGAAAGCAGCGGTTTAACGAATAAAACGTTCTATAAATAACTGTAAATAAGTTAAACAGAAAGTACGAATAGCGTCGGTGAAAGACGACATCCGTAACGAGAAGGTGGAAGGTGGAAGGAAAGAATGGGCAGTCGGAAGAGAGGAGAGAATCGATTCTCCGGGCGTCAGCGTGACGGAACAAAATAAACGATACTCGGAGAGGAGTAGCGTATCGAAACGAAACATCACATTTTGTTTGATGACTCCCCGTAGGTTCTTGCCATTTATTCGTCCTCGCGAGCGACATCCTTCGTCCGTGGAAGAAGCTCGAACCGACGAAGGAAGATCCGATCGGCGGGGACGACGATAAGCAGTCAATTATTACGAAAGAAATGTTATATGTAATTACGACAATACCGTGCCACGAGAGGGGATCTACGATAACGAAATGCTTATCGTATCCCCGACGTCGCGATAATCTTCTTTCTTTCCCTTCGTCTACTTTTTGCACTTGCTTTAACTGGTAATCGAGAAGATCGGTCGGATCTTTATGACCTCCTGCCTCTTTATCCGGATCTTCCGGTTCGTCAAACGATCTCGGGAGACAAACGGAGGCGGGGAACTTTTGTTGGACACTGTACTAGTCAAAATTCGATGTGTATACTCGAACGAACAGAGAATTCGACATAGAGATCTCGATCCCTTTGCCAAGGGACGAGCATAACGCAAATCGTCCGATCTTTCTTCCCGATTCTTCTCTGTTTTCTTCTTCGTTGTCGCGGCTCGTGGCCGCGTTTCCGGTCGCGAGACGCGATCGTTGTCTCGTCTTTATATGTTTCAATTTTCGTACACGTGGAAAACTGACTAACAGAGTAACATTAATTTAACACCAGTCATTATTATAATAATTATTATTATTACTTATTTACGCCCTCTTATTACGTACGTTCACGCAATAATTGTATTGCTGCATACCTGAACGGGTATGTTCTTATAGTTGTAACGATAATAAACCATATTCGCAGCGTAACACCAAATAATCCGTTCTCTTCCAGCTTTTCAGCGACGCGTGGATATTTTCAACCATCATCTACAAGAAAAGATACGACTTTACCTAGTCTACTTTCCTTTGCGTTTCTGGGTAAAACGCGCTCGTAATTTTCTTTTTTAAATACCGCTACCTAGGACGATCTTTGCTCCTATGGTTCGAAAAGTAGGATAGTTTGCTCGACACGCGGACAAATGAAAGCTGACAGTGTCTAATCCGCGAGTCGATCAAACTATTTTCTTTGGTCGACTCGCGAACGTGCAACCTCCATGTACGTTTAGACACGGAAAGCGTTCCCCATGACGAGAGGAAAAGTGTGAGAGAACTACGCGATATTCTTTTTCCGCGTTTTCCATTCGTCCCTAATCGAGCGAAATTCGCTGAACAGTCACGGTAAGTAACAGATTGCCTCCGAATTACCGTTAACGCATTAGACTGGAATGAACCGCGTGCAAAGAAAAGTGTTGGAACATATCCATCCGCGACCGGATTCCTCTCGCGCGACGGAGAAGAGTGATCCATGGTTTACTCGCGGTTTCTTCCACGAACAAAATATAACGTGTCAACGATACACCATCTTTTTCCTTGATAACTCTCCCTCTTTCATACTCCAAACTTTCAAGTCGTTCGCGAATTCTCGAAACACAGAGTACAATACCTATGCTCCTCGCGATCAGTTCAATTCAGGAGTGACTTAATTTACTCCGCGACGTGGTTGAAAAATCGGAATATCGGATACGTGGATCCGAGCGTTCTGTTCCGGTCAGTGAGTAGAAATATATTCTACTAACCTCGGGACCTTGGGTCCACTATAGCGGGGCCTTAGCAGTCCGACGAGGAACCCGAGTACTGAATACCATACAGAAATCCCGTAAGCCGGGCCCGTCGAGCAGTTCAGTGAAATTGTCCTTTTTTCGCGTGTACGCTTACGAGCAACGAGTCTCGAAAGACTGGTTCCGTCTCGAAGCATAAGATCAGTCAACAAGGAGACTTCGAGACGACCGCATATCCTGGCCTGATTCAGGCCGATCATGGCTGTCGACTTCGGGTCGATCCTGTGCCTCGTGCTCGGTTTATCGGTGATCATCGCCTCGAATCGAACCACTGCTCGGCCGCAGCGCGGCGAATTTGAATTTCTGCCCGGAGAAAAGTATAATTGCTCGTCCGTGGGAGAGGTGGATTGGTCGTACGACGAGGAAAGTCGAGAATCGAGGTTCGTGTTTGTGTGTTTGTGTTTGGGTGTTGGGGTAGATTTTGTACTGACCGGTATTTATCGATAATCGTTAGCAACTCGCGAATCGATATTCCAATCGGATTATTTCGTTTTAATAAATTACTCGTTGCTAGTGACGAACACGGTGTAAATTACGCTGAAAGAATGGTGGCCATTGTTTTAGGTGCCTGCACGAAGGGGACACCGTGTCCAATGACACCGACGATTTAAAGATCGGCGACAAAAGCAGAGGCTTCTCTTTCGTGAACATGGTCGAATCGATGTTTTCCGCGGTAGCTAACGGAATCGGCTCTTTTGTGACCAGCATTATTGGCACGGAGAAAAATTTTAAGCCACGGTCTCCCAGAGTCAGCTACAGAAATCATCAACTGATCAGGCTGTACCCCAATTCGCAAACCCACGTGAACGAGCTGAAGGAACTGAAAGAGGCTGAACCCGAGGACGTCAAATTTTGGGCCGAGCCAATGTACAACAAGTTCGTTTCTTTATTATCATATAGTTTTTGTTTTAACCCGAAGGATTAGGAAGGACTGACGTTCAGAATCGATATTTCAGGACGACGGACGTGGTTGTTGGGCCAGATCTAGTCTCCGAGGTGAAGATGTTCCTCAGAGACAAAGGGATAGACTTCAAGGTACTGATACCGGATCTCCAGGTATGCTATGATATTCTATATTTAAATCAGATTATTATACGACGCGCGATTACCTGTAAAAAGGTAACTTTAGTCAAGGCAATTAATAACATGTACATTAAAAAGAATTACTCGGAAATTACGATAAGCTCTGTGGAGTTTATTCAATTTGTTGACCGACTGCTTTCTTGGCCTGTTCTAATAGAAAATAATAGCGTATCAGAATCCAAAAATGAGCAAGGAGCAACGCGAAGATCTCGTCACGTCTCATGGCCACAGTATGACTTGGAAACGTTATCATCGATATGGAGGTAAATACTCTCTGCATCTTTTTGCGCGTCTTTCTAAAATTCGGATTTTCAGTATTCCAGCACCATATGTTTCTCCGCTTTAAATCACGGTAAGAATTCTGTCCCATTTCGTCTGCCTATAAAGTTTACCATGCACTTCCAGAGAGTTCCCTGCATCCAGCTCTTCTAATGGCGAAAGCTTTCAGCACGGACCTGGTCCCCTGGTTCCGAACGGCCCCTCCATCGGTTCCAATCTACTCCTACCACTTCTATCTTCCTCCTAGCCGTGTTCCAAGCTAACACCTCCCCACTACCTTTATCTCGAACGATAATATCCCTATAACGAGACGAACGAATATCATGGTAAATTCTAAAGTTTCTCGAACGCCATACGAAAGACGATTCAAACGATCGATGAGAATTTTTCCAGAGATCTGCAGATACTTGGAGTATCTGGCCTTCAGGTACCCGAGCCTGGTCGAGTTGATAACCATAGGACACAGTTACGAGGGGCAGCCGATCAAGATGGTGAAGATCTCGACCGGGCCCAACAAAGGGGGTGAGGCGAAACCAGCGGTCTGGATAGATGCTGGTGAGTTCCTGTTGTCATGTTAGTCATAGAAAATAACGCGCGTTACTCGGTCACCAAAGAGAGATGCACGAAAAATAAATGGACGTCTCGTACGAGTACGTGCTCAACATTTTCCCTCGGTCGAGTGAAATGCTGATATACGGTGAACACTGGAGTTCTAGCCTCCTCTCGCATGAAAGCCAGATATTTATTATTCTCACCGGCATTCCGTGAATTCACGTCCATACGCAACGCGAGACCTTGCATAATAACGCGAGACATCTTCTGTACGAGGTAATTTCTAGCGGGGAATTCATTCTTCCATTTTAAAGGGAGAAACGCTTCCTGCCCGCAATATTATTCCCTACCGTGACTGAAATCTGTAATTTTCGAACGAGAGACGTAATATACCCGCGACGTGTTTGTTCCTTTAATTAATTCTCTAATCGATTCGCGGGTACGATGAATGAACTTTAAGCACCGCGATCGTCGAATTTATCTACGATCGTAATCTGTTTCATCTCGTGTAAAATCGCTCAATGTTGCATCAGAACGTTATCCGAATATCTAACCTCTTGATCCGAGCATGTAAAAATCAGTGTAACAGTGTATCGACCGATTTCATATCCTACTCGAGACACGGCTACTTCTGCGCGAATACTTCTCCATGGCCCTTTCTAATGGTCCCGTTTCAACCGGCACGAAATATCGTAAAAGCAGCTGTAAAATTCCAGCAAGCGTCACTGCATGCAAATGAAGCCGAATAATAATTTCCCTTTTTCCGTGTTACCATTTCTCTCCTATCTCGATCTTCTCAGCCTTCCGAGCTCGTTTGTCGTGCATACATCGATACACGCGTCGTTGGAAACCAAATTCCTCTCGTGACAATTTTCCATTTTTCATAATTTTTCCCAATTTTTCCTAATTTTCCTTCGTATTCGCGTTGCTGAAAAATTGCCGCGGGAAGGATGAATGAAATTTCTTGAATGAAAGACTCGTAAGAAACGCACGCTTCTATGTGCACGAAGCGTGACACGCGATCCTGTCCCGTTACGCGGTTCTTTTCTCGAATCGTCCTGACATTCGGCAGGTATGCACGCACGCGAGTGGATCGGCTCCGCTGTGGCGACCTACATCGTCAGCCAGCTGGTCGAGAAGAACTCGAGCTACGCCAAGTTGCTGGACAATTCGGACTGGATGATTTTACCGGTAGCGAATCCGGACGGCTACGAGTTCAGTCACATCGGTGACAGATTGTGGAGAAAGACGAGGAGCAATCACGACGAGGATCAGGACGACAGTCGGTACGACTCTCAGCTTGGAACACTTTTGCGTGAAACGCTTGGTCGAGCGATCGTGATCTCGTTAAGTCGTTAGACGATGACGATGAATCGATGAATCGATGCAGGTGACCCTCTATGTAGGTTTCTATTCCAGCTTCCTTCAGCTGGTGAACCATTACACGAGGTGGTTATGGGGGAAGTGCGAGGGTGTCGACCCGAATAGGAACTTCGACTATCACTGGGGCGAAGTGGAAGAGGGTGGTGCAAGCTTGGATCCCTGCCACGAAACTTACGCTGGTCCACGGGCCTTCTCTGAGCCGGAAACCAAGGCAATGGCCGATTATATTTTGGCCAATAAACAGAATATTAGGTACGTGTATCGGGTGTCTGAGAAAAGTAACGAAAGGATCTCGCATTAATTGAATTAACCCTTTGCGCTCGACGATTTTTTGACTAAAGAAGGGTACGAGTTGAAAAATTTTCTGCTATAAGGCTGATTATATTTTTTGAGCAGTGAATAAGAAATCGTATAATAATTAACACGTAAAATTATTTAATTTCGATATTTCACGTAATGTTACATTATTTTAAATTTGATATATTAATTAACCCTTTACACCTGCCGATTTTTTGACTAAAGAAGAGTAGAAATTCAAAGATTCTCTGCTATAAAATTGACGATACTTCTTTGAGCAGTAAATAAATAATCATATAATAATTACCGCGTGGAATTATTTGATTTTGATACCTCGTACACTGTTACATTATCTTAAATTTGATATATTAATTAATATCGATCTTCTAAATCTTATGACATGGTAACTAGAGGTCGCCTCTCGAGTGCAAAGGATTAATATTGAGTTTCGAAATTTTATCAAATGGCGACTGAAGGGCGCCTCTCGAGTGCAAAGAGTTAAACATTTGGAAAGGAACACTGGCTCTGCAAAAATTGAAAATTATGTTTGATTAATTATTGGAACTTAAATATTCTTAAAAATCTGTCAACGTTTAATCAACTTAATTCGGAGGTTTAAACCGAGAAACTTACTTAGATTTGCGCACACGTTGAATGTCGATGACGGATGGAGGAATACTTTCAGGATGTATCTGACATTGCACTCCTACTCGCAAATGTGGCTGGTACCGTGGGGGTACACGTACTCGAGACCTTCCGATTATTGGGAATTGGCGAGCGTGGCTAAAAAGGCGATAGGAGCGATTTCGAAAATACACGGAACCGATTATCAATTTGGTCCATCAGCCGATCTGTTGTATCCAACTTCAGGTACTATCACGTGGAAATTAATATTATACAGATAAGAGGCAGAGAGTGCGCGATTTTTATCATCTTTGTTTGATACTCGGTAATCAAAAATAAAGCGAAAAGTATTTTCGCGTACCGATGATTAATTAAACCGATAACTAATGGGCTCTTGCACAACGAAATGGGGAATATTCCGAAGAAAGGAACAGAATTATCTCCTTGGACATTTGAAAAACAAATACTCGTATTTATATAAATATAAATAAACATAACAAAGAACTTTTCCTAGAATTATCATTTACCTGTGAAAGTACTAAACTTCCATTTCATGGAAATTACTTGATGATAAAATAATACTGCACGAAATCCACGCGAATAAATTTGTTTATCATTGCTAAAATTTATCATTGGAACATTCGATTATCTCTCGATTCTTGCATGGATATTTAGACCTTTACGAATTCTCGATTTACGGTAATTGGAACTTTATTGCATTCGATGCATCCGTGCATTCTTGCATCGAATTCGCGATAATTGACACGTGTAATCGGAAATGATACTTGATGGATTTTAGGAGCTTCCGACGATTGGGCCAAGGGAGTAGCTGGAATAAAGTACGCCTACACGCTGGAACTTCGAGATCGCGGCACGTATGGATTTCTGCTTCCCGCTTCGCAGATCGTGCCGACTGCTCGCGAAATTTGGGCAGGAATAAGGACGATCGCTCGTTTAATCACTTGCAACACGTGAACTCGTGTCGTTTAGATTGATTACAAACATCGTAAATTGCTACCAAACAGTTTAGATTGCCAGTGACAATCTCAGAATTCTACTCGATAAGCCTGGGATCGATCCAGAGATAATGCTAAATTTCGTTACAAAATTATCGAATGCGTACAAAGTTCATCTTGAAATAAATGCTACAGATGGATACCAAGGATCGTACCGTCACACGTTTCAGGACAAATAATCGTGTTCGATTTTAACGAATCACGTGTAAATATTGTAAAGTATCTATAGAAGTGCGAAAGGCACGCTGAGGGTTTCATTGCCGTAGAGTAATTTATGAATGCTTGGCAGGCGTGTAGGATATGTATTTGAACAGCGTTTAACACATGTAAAAATGGAATAACTAATAAACGTACTAAATAGACAACCCATGCTTGTGATTTATCATGCGAAACGAAACGCTTCGCTTTCTGTCCGTTCCAAACTAAAATCCGATACGATGGAGGGCTAACCGTAAATAACTTTTCGCTAATTAAATTGTTGGATCTCCTGCCTTTTTTGATACGCGATAAATGCGAGTTATCGCGGTAAACGTAATGGAAAAGAAAAGAAGAAAACAATCTGTGTGATAAAATCGTACGAAAGTAGGTAATAATGTATTATTAGACAAAATTCGGCCGTGATATACTACAAAGATAATCAATGCGCTCTTCAACCTAAATGTTTAACGGAGATAGATAGATCTATCGTAAAAATAGCATCACTTGTATTTATCACCGATTATGATTTAGAATTATCGCTAGATATCGTCCAACGACATCCTATATAAATCGTAATTTCCACTGGACTTGACAAGTTGTATCGAAACAATCGTACAACAATGTTCACCAAATTCATATTGGCTGCCATCCTCGTGATCCAGGGTAAGAGAGTAAACTTTAATATTAATTAAAAATAATCTAACCGATACCTATTGTGCCGACTAATTAGGCTATTAGCTTTACCGAAGTGTTAATTATTCAACGACTCGATGTTCGGCTGTTAACAGTTTGCTGGGCCATACCCACCAAACTTCACCCCCGCATCACGGACGGCGTTCCTGCCGCACCTGGTGAATTCCCGTACCAAGTTTCCATTCAATGGGGACTACCACCTCTAAGACCATACAGCCACATATGCGGTGGTTCTATCTTGAGCAAGAATGTCGTCTTGACCGCTGGCCACTGTGTCATGAATTTGGGAAGAACCAGAGTCGTTGCTGGCGTATACGATTTGAGCAAATCTGAATCTAGCATGCAGGTTCTGCCAGTTGAAAGGAGCGTCGTCCACAGTGGATACAACGGGTAAGCAATGTACTTCATCGTCGAACGATTATCCCGATTTTTCATTTCGAAATTTCACTGCCATTTTCAAATTCCGAGGAAAAGAATACGACGAATGTAATTTCCTTTTCTTACAAGTTTAATTGTAATACTTTAATTGTAATTGCCATCATAGAAATTTTTCATTCCACTCGATAACTTGCCGGATCTTTGCTATCCCTTATCTACCGATTTGAAGGAAATCTTCTAAAACGAGATACAGATCTTGTCATCAGTCACGGGACTGTGTGTAACACTGCATCAAGCATCCATCGTTATCTGCTCCGGTTATTCGATAATTCCTAACCTCTATTCAGCATTTCCTATTCCACGAGTAAATGGGATGAGATAAGGGACGAGTGTCTAGATCGACGTTAAAGCAAATAGTCTCGGGTATCGATAGTTCTACTAACACACTTTTCTCTATGGGCCCACAGTGGTGTCGCTCAAAACGACATCGCACTTTTGTTCCTGAGCGACGATTTAGTGCTTAACGACTTCGTGAAACCCATCACACTGCCCCAAGAAGGAGAAGATGAAACCGGAGATGTAGTTCTTTCTGGATGGGGATCAGTCTCCAAGACCATAATCCCAAAACTGCCCGAAACTCTTCAGAAGGCTGAGGTGACCATCCTTGACAACGCAGAATGTTTGCAAGAACTGAAATCCGTACCCGGCGAAGATCCTGAACTCTTCGACTCTCAGATCTGCACTGGAATTGGTGCCAAAGAAATCTCTGCTTGCTCTGTAAGTATATCGCGAATTGTTTCTACTAGTAATCATTTTCGTTGACCAATTGGTCTAGCTCGATGATCATTTTCCTATCGGAGCTGTAACTTAAAGCAACGCTAAAGTTGATCGCGAACGATGACGGAAGAAGTTAGGGATTTCTTTCTAGGATAAGATATTTATGCATCTGTTGGACTTGTTTTCAGGGTGACTCTGGTGGCCCACTTGCCCAAATCGTTGATGGAAATGCTGTCCAAGTTGGTATCGTGTCATGGGGTATGATGCCATGCGGATCTAGCCGCGCACCATCTGTGTACACCCGTGTCTCCTTCTTCGTTGATTGGATCAACGAACACATGCTTTAAATTCGTCACAATTGCTCGCTGTCGATTTAATGAATTTCTTCATTAAATTTCTGTCCAAAATGTCTATGAAAATATTAAGTTTAATATAAGTCGTATCAATAGAAAATTCGATCTAATTTATTTTGGAAAACCTGATCCCTGAGTCTGCAATTACTCGAATAGAAAGGAAGATAATGAAATCAGTGTATATGGAATCGTTACGTTTTAACCCACCTTTGTTTGCGCTGCACAACGAGACATACTTACTTTAATGACTCGTGAAATTGATCGATAAGTGTGATCTAGACGTTGAAAATTCCCCGTAAAGGTATGACCAACCGCGGCTATCGATGTTGAAATCCAATGATTATAACGAATCGATTTAAAGACGTCAAGACAGTGGGATTAATTTGAATCGAGCATAAAGATAGGAGTGATTTCTCCGAATGATCGAAGGGATTACATTTCCTCTTGCTTATTTGAATGAAACGATTGATAAACGGAGATAAAATTACCAATGAAAATGATTCGAAACTTACACGCAGTGTCGATATCGATAACCTTAATTAACTATTGAACTATAGCTACTGTTACCGTTATCTAGCATCTAATTCTAGGTGTAGCACAATTAGAAGGAATTCGCAAACACGGGTCGATTCTCAGAGATTTCCAAATATTATTATCGGGCCAGGTAAAAGACCTGTCGTGTGCAAAATTGATAAGATATGTTTATTAATGAAAGGAAAACGGAGAAAATTTCTGTAACTGTGAGATTTCTTGAATCCCGTATGTGTGTCCGATTCATGTATGAATCGAGACACACGTTTCCGATAAGCCTTTATCATCGATAATGAGAGTATATAAACTCTCGTTAAGATGAAGAGCAACAAATCAGAAAGATGTCTCTCAAACTCGTCGTCTTCGTGACCCTCCTCGCAGCGGCTGCTGCTAGTAAGTCAACTTTTAACACGGTTTAACTTTCAAAGCAAATCGACAGTTTTCTATTTGGAAGATACTTCTTTTTTTTGGAAAAATGGATAAGCGAAAAGAATCAATTTTCAAATATTTTCGTATTTATTCGAATTATCCGTTCCTGTCTGTAGTCAAACCATACCGTGGCTTCAGTTTGCCGTTATTCAGCAATCGCATAGTTGGAGGAAGCGAAGCTACCCCGGGTGCTTATCCGTGGCAAGTTTCCTTGCAATGGGGATGGCTGTTTGGTCAGTCTCACTTCTGCGGTGGCTCCATCCTCAACAGTCAATGGGTCGTAACTGCTGGACATTGCGTGTTGGCCGTGCCATCCTACGGTGATTTCGTGGTTAAAGCTGGAAAGCACAACCTAAAACTGAAGGAAAGCTCCGAGCAGACGATCAAAGTCGCGAAATCTTTCGTGCACGAGAAATACGTGGGGTAAACGAACGTTTATTTCGTTATTAAAGAACGTTTGACAAGTGTACCGAAGGTAGGTGAGCATTATTCGTCGCTTCGGAAATGTCACGAGGCTCGATAATTTCAGAAACGTGGCCCCATACGATATCGCGTTGCTGAAACTGGAGACGCCATTGAAAATGAACAATTTAGTTCAGGCGATTAGTCTTCCAAAGACGGGTGCCACGCCAACCGGAGATGCCATCCTGACTGGTTGGGGTTCGACCTCGAGGACCAGTAATCCAATTATGCCTGACAAGCTTCAAGTTGCCCTGTTGCCGATCGTCGATTTAAACACTTGCAGAGAAGCCATAGAAAAACTTACCGGCCCGTCTCCTTTGCACGCGACTAATGTTTGCACTGGACCACTCACTGGCGGCTATTCGGCGTGCAACGTGAGATATCGGACTTTTAAATAGAGCATTTGCGTTTATCAGGCGTCTCGGTACATAAGCGAAATTACGCAATTTATATTAATTATGATTTCAGGGTGACTCAGGTGGTCCACTGATCCACAATGGCAGCGGCAAGGCTCAACTTATCGGAATTGTCTCCTGGGGAATTGTTCCATGCGGAACGGTGGGCGCACCCTCGGTTTACACCAGCACGTCCTCGTTCGTCAGTTGGGTTGAAAACATCATAGCCAAGAACTGAAGCATTTAATCTTAAGACGATAATCGATATTATTAATGTACGCGCGCGTTGAATACTCGGCGAAGGCCGAATGTATCGTGTAATAAAATTCAAAGAGATATGCAATTTCATTCGTAGTTTCTTCGGAAACTTCAAACGTTCGCTCTTGCCGTGTCAGGTAGAATTCCCATAAACGAAGTGTTCCCGAGGTGCTAAAAATAAAACCTCGGCGCTAATAATTCACGCCATAAAAAGTAAGACGCTTGCAACGAGAAAGGAACTTGTTCTGAGCTAGCTGGCAAAAGGACAGATCCAGTTCCTCTTCGATATGTTCTTCCGCTGTTGCTTTCTTGCAGACTCACCATTTCGTCTCGATTCCTGGAAGAGGAAACAATTTCGCGAAATGACAGTTTGTTGCATTCTCGGGAAATTAGTCATAGCTTTTTTCACTATCTTCGTATGGTGTGCTGGAAGGAATGGTGAGAAATAGTCCCGTTTCTTTCGAACTTTTAATAAACTTTATCAGGTGTACCTAAACGATACAGTGACTCGGGCTTAATATTATCTGAACTCGTTCTTCCTTCGACAGAGATGGCTTCGAGTATATCGATGTTGGCGCAGAGACCAACGAGAATCGTCGGTGGAAAAGACGCAGAGAAGGGGCTACATCCTTGGCAAGTTTCGGTGCATTGGGGCGATCGAGAAAGAATGATTCCATCGAGGCATATTTGCGGTGGAAGTTTGCTGTCAGCCGGATGGATATTGACAGCTGGCCACTGCGACACTTTGGCGCCACCGATTGGAGAATTTCAAATTTTCGCTGGCAAGTACAAACTGGGAACTCTCGAAGCAACGGAACAGAGTAGATTTGTGGACAAGGTGTTCGTTCATCCCCGATACGACGGGTGAGTTTTCAAGATTCAATGGTTACGACTCTAAACTTGAATCGCTGATCGACGTAACGTTTCAGGTCCATAGGCCCATATGACATCGCGTTGATGCAAGTGGAACGACCGTTCCAGTTGAATCCTTTCGTTTCCACGGTTTCCTTGCCATATCCGAATTCTGTGCCTACTGGAGAAGCGATGCTAACTGGCTGGGGCAGCATCGGAAGAACCCTTGCCCATGAAACACCGGAGTATCTTCAGGCCGCCATACTGCCGATTATCGACTACGACCTGTGCGAGAAAGCAATAGCCAAGTCGTTAAAACCAAAGCAAAGGAACCCTCTGCATTCGACGAACATCTGCACCGGTCCTCTGGATGGCAGTTTATCCGCCTGCAAAGTATTCTTTCAATTTTTTAATTTTTCTATTCTCGAGTTAATTCTAAAATACGCGAATATTCTTTTCAGGGTGACTCGGGAGGACCTTTGGTCACGAGGAACGCTTTCGGCGATGCAGAGGTAGTTGGAATTGTTTCATGGGGATTGTTTCCCTGCGGAGCAAAGAACGCGCCCTCCGTCTATACCAAAGTCTCCGCTTTCGTTACTTGGATCACCGTGATCATGTTAAATTACTCTTAACCGGTGAAGACGAAGAATCGTCGTTATCTTGTTTTATTCAATAAATAATGCTTTGCTGTCACTCGTCTTACCCGCTAATAATTACAGTACACAGATACGTCACACATACAATGATCGATAGCAATTCGTATTTATACAACTACGCTACTACTTAACAGTTACAGAGATTTGCAAGCTTCCGTGACGATCATGACCGCAGCCAACGCTTCCTTAGCTGTCGGAATAATATAACGAGCTGGTAAGACGAAACCGTGCTTCCCAGTGTCTCTTAATTCCACGGTGTAGGTGTATTTCATTTTCAGGATCGCCTTGGCCCAGTCGTCGGAGCCACCGGAAGCCGCGTACAGGGTGGTAGCGCTGTTTCCGACAGTGTAAGCGCTGTTAGCCCCGCCTGCCTTCCTCATCGCCTTTGCTACCTCTCTGCCGACCATCTCGAGGTCTGCGTAATCAGGTGGAACGCGTTTGTCGTAGCCCCATGGGTACAGGATGTATTGGCCGTAACTGTGGAATGTCAGGTATGCCTGGAAAATATCGCGAGTTAAATAATTTCCTCGAAACAGAGAAACTGGGGTAAAAATGAAACCCACTTTAAAGTTAGCCGCACTGGCCTCGAAGAAGTACCGAACGGCGTTGGTTTCCGGCTCGGAGAACGGTCCGGAGCCTGCATAAGTTTCGCGACATGGGTCTTTGCTAGTTCCCAACCCACCCCATCGATAACCAAAGTTCCTGTTGAGATCCACCCCGGTGCACAGACTTCCCACGGAGCGTTTCCTGTTCTTCCTCCATAAACGATCCTTGGTGAACGTGTACTCGTACCTGCGAGTCGTAGGAAACCGTAATTAATAAGAGGCATTTGAGTGACACTATTCCTCTATTACAGGGAACGTACCCATCAGGATTTGCCACTGGGAGAATGTAATAATCAGCCTCGAGGTTCTCGCTATTTTCGACCAAGTGATTGATAATGTAAGTGACAGATGCCGGCGAGATCCATTCGCGGGCATGAATACCACCATCGATCCACAACGCTGGTGCATTTGGTTTTCCATTGCTAATTCTTATCACCTGCGTCACGTATTATTTTTCGTACTTTTCAAATTTTTACACCACTGTTTCATATTCTCTATCGATATTCGACGTAGCCAATAATTACCTTCAGAGGTCTTCCCTCGACGGAATTGCCAATACTGACGACGGAACATACGTCGGGGAACGTTTCAGCGAGATAATCCAGATATCCATGGATGTCCTCGAGTCGGTGGTAACTGGTCCATTCCATTCGATGACCTGACAGGTATACCTTCAAGATTATTCATAGGTTGCACGTTCGGTGTCCTTAAACGACACGTGAGAATATTCCGCTCCGTGGATTCAGAGGCGAACGTTTGTTCAGTTTCTGACGTCTGCGTCAGAGAATAAATCGCAGAGAGAGAAATTGAGACAGAGGAGTGAACGAAATAATTAGGCGGACGATTCTGAATCAACGAAGCGGAGTGTGCGCGCAAAAGGCTCACCAATAAAGTGCCAAGGGCCACCGCCACCGTGTACGCTAGCTACAGGATAACGAAGAGGACGAGGACGTGAATATCTACTTGGCACCCTGACCGCGACTCCCTTCCACCAAGCGTAACGAGCTAGAAAATTACTCGGAAGCTCAGTATTCAGTGACGTACTCTTGCCTGTTAGTCGAAATCATAGCCAGGAAATGACCGTAGCCTCGTGAAAACGTGGAAAACTTTCCAAGAGATTCCATTAAAAGGCACTTCGATATTAACGTTCGTTACGTCGGAGATTACTGAAAGTACTATTAACTCGTATTAAACGTGGAAAATTTACGTTTCAATCGGTGACAATTATCACGTGGAATACGAGGAATATTTCGTTCGTTGAAATTCGAGATCACGGCGTCGCTCGATGCGAATAATTTTCGTGCCAACGAATAACGCGATGATGATGATCTATGTTCTATTACGTTTGCAAAACCGTCGGAACAGGCTCGTTCGCGATTCCAGCCGAATCACCGAGTCTCCTCCGTGTCTTCCATGGTTTAGAGCAGCTTTCGAACGGGGCCGATTGCCAACGCTTCTCTCGGGGACTAGCTGGAAACGGGTAACGGGGCCGCGATCGAAACAACAAAGTTGTTCGTGAAGACGACTGAACACACGTGCGTTGCAGATGCACGCACACCAGCGTGGACACACGCGAGCACATATAACCGTAAATGTTAATCAGCATTGTCGACCTACCGAAACTGGGTTAACGGGTTAAATCGCGACCGGGCCGATGACCTGGTATCTTTCCATCGAAAAATGGCCCAGTGTTCGACGATTTTTCTAGTATCTCGTTTCTAAATTCAAGGGTACTCGTGAACGAGAAGGTGGATGTAAGCAACGAGGATAGATATTTGCGCGTCGTCGAGCGAACTATAGTTTCACGCGATTAATTCGCTTAGAACGTCTAACGACGACTCGTGTCGATAAACTTCACTTATCGGAAACACTTTCAAATCCGTTGGCTATGTGCGGACGACAATTTGTTCACGGCTTTCTTCGCTGCGTGACTCGACTCCGCGATAAAGCTTTAAACGAGTTGTCGCGTCTTCGCCATTCGTGTCAGTGGAACGGATAAAGTAACAAGTGAAACATCGTTTCACTGTCGAAGGCGACGACGCTTCTTTTCAATCGGATCCGACGAGCGAAATCGATCGCTGAAGCGACTCAACCGGCGGAAATCGCGCGATGACTCTGCGAAGTGAGAACGGAAAAGAGTATCAAGCAAGGAAAGCATGAAACCGGAAGCTGAACCGATGTACACGCCGAATGAATTTGCGATGGTCGATGGGAGAATGATGAAAGAGCGTTGCTGCAAACCTTTGCGACCTTCCAGTTCCTCCACCTCTTGCTCCGAGAGCAATGGGTTCTCCTCGTCTATCGCTCTTTGCAGATCCTCGATCACTACCTCGTATTGCAGTTCTTTTTGCTTCAGATAGCGAGACACTCTTGAAATTTCTTCTGGACGAATCATCACGTCCACTGCCGTGTCGTTACCCACCCATAACGAGAGTACTGTAAGAAGGGTAGAAACAAAAATCATTTCAATTTTAATCTCAGAAATTATTATCGTTATCGTTAATAATCGATCTTTTGTACCCTGTTCTGTTCCCTCGTAAGTCTAGCAAGCTCGAATATTTCTTACAAGAGAACGCGCAAAAATTGTCTCAAGCGAAATGCTTAAATTTTAGAATGCTTCTCGAGTTAAATTCGACAGGGTTGAAACAAAAGTTCTAGTTATCGATTCTCCCACTGAGCGAAGTGTTTATACGAACATCCAGCTTCCTGAAAATCCATGGTCACGTTCGCCACCAAATCCTTCTGCCCTTCGGTACCTTGGACCCTCCAGACCTGTGCACCGTCATAGGTTACCTTCGCATCCCTCACTCTAACCGCCCTTTGTATCGTCTTGGAGTTCTCCGCGACAGGTTCGTCCACGATCTCGATCCAGTCCGGGATCACGAATTCTCGTTTCTGGCGGTCGATCACTGCCGCTTCGACGACCAGCACGACGAACAGGAGGAACGCGAACGCGATGGAACGCGCACTCTGAGAACTACCTCTCTTCTTCATCGCGAACAACTATCCTCGCATCGACAATGGTCCCTGCTTTTATAATATTCCAGCCGGTCGACGATCGGGAGTAACGGGACTTAACGAGCGCGCCTCGAACCTCCTCGATCGCGGATCGCTCCAACTTCCAGCTTCGAGGATCTTTGACCTTGCGAAAAGTTCGCTTCGCAGCCTTTGCGAAGGACTTCGAAATCCATTTTATTGAAATTCCAGTTTATAAAACCTGTATTCGTTACGGCGAAGAAATTCCGCCTTACTTATCGTTGTTGCTTGGTAGCATAATCCGAACCATAATTTGCTTGCGAGCGAGGATGGGACCGGTGAAGGCCCGAGGGTTTTGGAGATAAGAGAAATTCCTCGTAAATCGCTGATTAATGGACCATCGTTTAAGAGAGTTCTTTATTTATTTATTTATTTATTTATTAAACGGGAAAACCCATTAGAATACAAAGAAAATTACAAGTTTCTTAAAATAGAGACACCGAAAAGTTCTATTGCTTAATTATTATTATTTGGTAATGATGTGATTCGATATATAGGATCGGTATTTGAGAATCGTGGTTTGTAACAAACAGGCCAAAATGTATACGATGTTCTAAATGCTCTTTGAGGTACATAAAGGTTTATATCATCGAGTAAGGAAGGACATTTAATCAAGCCATTTAGAATTTTGTAAAGAAAAAGGGAGTCCATAACTGTGCCTGTGATTATGAAAGTGGTTTAAGTCACTTATATTTGCTTCTGAAATATTAAAAGCTTCGGTATTTAAATACCTCATGAGTTATAAAATTAATTGCGATAAAGCTACAAACTCAATCTAACGACTCAATCCTTCACTGTTTTATGGAAAATAAATATATTTTATCGTAATATAAATGAATGCAACACGAAATAAATTATAAAATCGTTCCTCTTAAGTCGATGACTTAGACCACTTTCATAATTATAGGCACAACTGTCCTCCTAGATGCTAACGGGATGAGATTCAATTTGTGCAAGATAGGTCCATAATCATGGTCAGTAAAATGCATCGGAGTTCCCGACTTCACTTTCATAATTATAGGCACAACTGTCCTCCTAGATGCTAACGGGATGAGATTCAATTTGTGCGAGATAGGTCCATAATCATGGTCAGTAAAATGCATCGGAGTACCCGACCTACACCTGTATGAGCTGCAAATCTCATGAAGCTATGTTGCACTCTATTAATAAGCTTTATATGCTTGTTGATGCGAGGAGACCGTGTAATAGATGCATATTCGAGGTTAGATCTAACAAGGGTGATGTACAGCAGCCTAAGACAATAAATATTTTCAACGAAACCGAGCATCTTATAAGCAACATTAACAATATTGTTACAGTTCGCGTTTACAATTCTTGTTGTACAAGTTTGATCGTTAGATTGACGAAGATTCCCAATGAATACGTCGTTGAATAGATTTAACCCTATTGAAAGGTTGACAGCTCTATTCTCTGAACTTCTGTTGAAGACATCTCTCTTTATAGTAAACAGCCGATTGTTATTTTGTCCGAACATCCTGAAAGGTGCTGGATTACTCTTCCCTGAAATTACGATCCTCTTAGCCGAATGAATTAATTTTTACTTAGCCGAATACCGGATAGATATGAAAATCTCGTAAGAGTATAATAAATGTGCTGAGAAAAATTGAGACAAAATAAAAATCTAACCCCTAGGTAGCATACATCAGATACTCTCGATAGTGATAGACCGCGTAATATGTAGTCATATAAAATAGGACATAAACTAGATCTCATAAGTTTGCATTTTTCGATATCAGAGTTATCGAACTCGACGCGAAGAATCTCGAGTTTAATGGAAAATATCTCATCAGAAATGGCGCGTGTTGTATTTACTACGATCGATCGTTGAGAGTTTCGGTTGGTAAGGTCGATAGTGCTTGGTTGTGCAATAGAAGAGATTTAAGTCGGTATGAATGAGCTTTCAATCAACGCACATTCCGCGCAAGCGTCCACGGGCTTATTTGGTCTCCGCGCGGTGCTTCTGATCGCATTTAAGCGTGGTGCGAGTCGAGCGATGAAGCTGAAACTGTCGGAAAACACGGAGCACTTCGGACGCAGTCGTAAAGCCATGAAGATCCTGTTGACGATAGCCTGCTTGGTCGTCGTGGCCGCAACTTTCGAGGTACCGTTTCGCGTTTAATGTCGGAAATATCGCCGCGGAGGATGCTGCTGCATTTTTCTGCATACCGTTAGCTGAACGCGTTCGAGAAATCGACGCGAGAGTTCGAGGTGATCGTGCAGGTGGTTCGATATCGGTGATAGGAACGATCGAGGCTGTTGGAATTTGGCAAGGGTACCAGAGCTCGTGTGACAAACTCGCGAGATTCCAGAGATACCAGACTAGGAGGAACTGAGGCAAATTCGATGACGACGCGATTAAACAATCGTTAGGAAAAATTGCGAAAGAGGACTAATTGTCTGACGAAATTCTGGGAACGCGTTTCGTCGTGAAGGCCGGATTACGAAAGGTGGAAGAGAAGAAGATCGAAGTATAGATCGGAAGCGTTTTATACTTGTACCGCGTAAGGTTTCCCTTATCTACCTTAATACCAGTGCATATTCGATTCTCGACAATGCTCCTCGAGCACGTGAGGCCGGTGTGTTTCGCTTAGCGCAAGTTTACGCGCGTGAAAGTCGTGGAAATGGAGGATTTATCGGAACAATGTGACAGAATTATCCATCGCGCCATTATTTTCCCTAGCGTCGCGTCGTTGCTTTACGTGGAACTCGTTTCGCTCGCGATCTAATATCATTCCCGATTACTCCACGAACTATGACAATAACTCTTCGCGAACTTAATATCTTCGTCGATTAGATGCGCATTCGGAACGGAATCGTTAAATTTCTACTCCCTTTACTAACTTTCTAAATTTCCCTACAGGATGACAGTCTCACGGTCACCGATCAAGTGTACCTGGACATTATGATAAACGATCATCCAGCAGGAAGGATCGTTGTAGGATTATTCGGCAATGTGGTCCCTAAGACTGCGCAGAATTTCATTACTTTAGCCACTACTGGAATTGGAGGGAAAACGTACAAGGGTAGCACGTTTCATCGAGTGATCAAGAAATTTATGATACAAGGTAATCGGACGTGTCGGTGTATCGAAGTGGAATTACCAGACTCTGATAATTTCTACTGTTTCGCAGGCGGAGATATAGAAAATGGCGACGGTACTGGATCGATCAGCATCTATGGGAAACACTTCGACGACGAGAATTTCGACATTGGTCACAATGGTCCTATGTACGTGAGCATGGCAAATGCTGGAAAGAATACGAACGGTTGCCAGTTCTTTATTACGACGATAGCTACACCGTGGTTAGATGGAAAGCACACTGTGTTCGGAAAGGTAACGAGAAGCATGGGTATTGGGAAAACAGGAACAGCGATCTATATTTCTGTTCGGTTGGCAGGTGATCGAGGGCGAAGACGTAGTGTTTAAGATCGAGCAGACGAAAACGGATGCTGATGATGTGCCTACTAAACCTGTGGTTATCTTCGCGTGCGGTTCTATTCCTACACCGTCTCCATTTAAAGTGGACGACAACATTTACAAGTAAATTTTCCAATCTTTTGCTGCATTTGCAATCTCTTGAGTATCGTGCAGTAACCGTGCAGTAAAATGGAATACTTATCTCTAAAAGAAGTAATTTTTAAAATATAAATATCTGATTAATTTCCTAGTAAAAGGACTTGGCTAGCTAGAATATAGTAACGCAGCAGATAACTCTAATTACTTGTTATAATTTCTATATTTTCTTTTCTTCGTTTCTTCTTCTTTTTTTTTTTTTTTTTTTTTATAATTAAATTATCGGTATATGATTGAATGTCCTTAAAGCACATGGATATGCAGAATATGTGTGTCATTAGGCAGAAGCATGAATCATTATAGATTCGCTAATTCCTGTTCTTCATAGATAGCAAAAGCTTCATGATACAGTTAAAACTGGCGCCATTTGCTCTCCCCTTTTGTAGAGAATTCTTGGTTTATTACCTCGTAAAACGTACGTAAATTAATCATGTGCGATTAGTATCGAACCAAATTTCAAGTGAGTACAACGCTATTAAATACCGCGCATGTATAAGTATTTAACTAACAAGTCATAATTGACATTGTTCCTTTAATTTACAGTATCTGGGCGTGGATAAAAGCAACATCCGTGCCGTTGAGTTTCAGTTTTTCCGTTCTTGCCTTTTTTCACTACATTATGAAGAAATTAGATGTCTAATTACGGTATACGTCATGCAAATTCTGTGAGCTATGAACAGAGATAATTACAATTCAAAAGCCTTTGTATCGTAATTTTATAAATAACAAAAAGACGAATAAAATGACGAAACCCTATTCTGAAACGGATCCATGAAAATTGCGATCTAAATCTCGATCTAAAAACTTGTTAGTTACCATTGTTTGTAGGATTGCAAGCCATAAGATCGCGTTTGTATTTCGAGTTTTGAATTATCACTTTGCTGATGCCTGTTTTAAAAATAAGATTAGATTGTACTTGTTTTATTTTTAACATCTCGATAATGACTATCGCAATTGCTTTCCTCCGGGTTATTTCTGCAAGTTAGGTTTATATATAACAGTTATAGTTAAATATTACAAATATGATCATAAATTGCAAATATTTTCTTTCTTGCACAAGTAGTAATTTATAATAATTAATTTCGACATAGTTATACGATATTTATAGTCATGGTCGTTCCTCTAATTACTTTCCCAGTTAATGTCGGGGCAATGAATGATTATGGTGTTTAAATTAGTATTATGCTATAACGACACGGTTAAGTCTTTTGCCGATACTGTGGAAGTATGTTTCTGAAACACTAAAACAAATAAACGAGCTGTACCAAGATTGCAGTTACGATTATGGCTACCCCATAGTCTGCATTATTAGTGTCACGGGTTATAAATCGCGAAGATATAAATTAATATTGCGAGTCACACGGAATACTCTAATGTTACACTAGCGTTGCTAATTCTCTTCTTAATTTCTTCTTCGGTTGACAATATTTATTCAAAATTTAATAATCGAGCAACGTTTAAATTTATAATGTAGTAAAAATCTATAAGTCAAGTGGTACAAATTATTAATTCATTATTAAATAGAATTCTATCATATCCAATAGATTGCCATTATAGAAATCACTTGTTTTATGCAAAGTGTGAATTATATTATTGTCAAGGAAAAAAATTCTATAATTAGTCCAAATAATATGCAAAAGCGTCCATAGATTAATTTTCGAAATGCCTTTCTCTGTTTCGTAAATTCGATGGATTTACGGACACTGTATCGCTATAGCCATCTAGCGGCGGGTCGTTGGTACTAACCGGTTGAATGCGATACGAATTTCTATATCTTCCTGCGTATTACACGTCCCTGGTCACATACCTCTATCGTTATTCTGCAATCCTGTTACAATCAGAGCTCAGATCATAATAGGAGTCCTGCAGAACTATGATTTCGAGTAGGTCCTCTACTATCTCTATTTCTATCAGAATTTTCCCTCTCTGTCAGAAACCTCTACCTTCTTTTACCTTCCTACTATTTTCCTCGCGAATTAACAGAAATAAAACTAAACTATAAATCAAAGTAGGTACTCTTGTGATATCTTTATATTTATTCCAGAGCCTTCTTACCTTACTCGATACCTCCATTATCGTTCTGTGTCTCTGTTAACTTCGCACGAAAATAGCGGGAGTTGTACCGATTATGAATTAAAGCTGGTATCTTCCGTTCTTCAGCCTCCTCGCAGGGTTCATACTCCTTGTCCGAAACCTCCATTATAGTTCTACACTTCCAATAACACGGGCGATGTTCAAATGTATTCCAAGCTTACGAGAAGCACCGGCGATATTCTATATCGTTTTTCTTATACAATCCGAGGATATATTAAAAGAGGATTAAACAGAGTGTTGAACTTGCGCATTTAGCAGGAAAATATCTGCCAGATTATTCGTTTCGAATGAAATGAATGAAATAAATTTAAGAAGTTTCATATTTCATCGTATGATTTACTCACTTGTGATTTATACGAATCATGCTCAACCGAATTACCAACTTAGGTAAATCAACGTTTACAATGGAATTAAGTATCCACGTGTGTATAAACATCCAACCAAACGGACTGTTTAATTACCCAGCAATTAATCAAATATTCACAGTCCAGTTCCAAAATCAAAACTTAAAATCCTATAGCAGAAAAAGAAGAAATATGAAGACTGTCTTTTAAACTCTCCAATCAAAAGATGTAGAAATAAATTCCAATGGAAAAAGTAAAAAGGACTAATACATATAAAAAGCCACTTTATCAATTTCAATTTTATCGACATGGACGTATGAGGATATACGAACTGAAAAACGAGGGGTCTCGTCCGTTCTCTGTTTCGGGAAACATCTGGAACCAAAATGTTTATCTACTCCAGTATAATAAAAAAAAAAAAATAATAAAAACGGAGAAAATATGGCGTAAGTCCCGCGCACGAACGATACTACCGCGACCTCACGCATGCTGTCCGTGCGAACCTTAGAGTCTACGGTACTGAGAGGGGAATGACGCAAAAGAGGCGCGCAGGCGCGGTTCTCCGACGCCAGACACGGGCGTAGAAAGGTGGTTCAGTGAGTGTTGAGCCGGCGTCGACCGCGGTTCGTCGCCGGAAACGAGTTGGCGACTGTGATAGAAGCGGATGCGTCACGGCTCCCTTCAAGCAAACGTCTCGTGGACGTTTTGTGGATCGCTTGGTTCTTTGATCGAACACGCGTATCGAAACGTGCGAACTGAAATCGTCGGTGAAGGAAGGTTGCAAGTGTGACAACGTGAGATTTCGCGCGTGTTGAAGCCGGGCGGCGTATGTTGCTCTCCTTGAGGTTCGATCGACGGGAAGACAGCTGGGAGAGAGTCTATCCAGAGGGATGCTTTGAGACACCGGTGGAGTGGTTTCATTCAAGGTGAGCCTCTTTTTCCACGGACCCTTTCCTGGCCTATGTTGTACGCCGATTCCAGTCAGCTGACTGCGTTTCAATGTGCTTGCTAGGGAAATAGCGTACGCGCGCGCGCGTATGTGTGTGCACTGGTACGTTATTCTGGGAGTAAATCGCGGCTGTGTGGTACGTTCAACCCGTTGGCGATGCGTTAAAGAAATGAAAGTATGGTTGCAGTTATGTGGACGTAGAGGAAGAACGCGTTGCAGGGAATTACAGAAGCGTGAAATATTTTGAAACGTGAAATACCTACATTCGATTACGGGATAGTTAGCGAAATTGGAGTTTAATTATTGAGGTAGATATTCCTGCT